AGGATGTAGTAAGTTAATTCGGGGTTGTATATATCGATGTGTGAAGTGGGGCCCGTTGCACACTTCTGCACGGGCATCTTGTGGGATTGCCTCGTGGCTGATCTTTCTCGCTGCAGAGATATCTGTAATCATAATCGAACGAAGCCAGTTTTCACCCTCAAGCAATCAATCATCCAATGTAGTCAATTAGATGATCATAAAACTTCTTTTCCAAAGGATTATAAGATTGTCCCAACCAAGAAATCAATCACGAAACTCTTCATCAAAGAGAAAACTGTACGAGCAAGTTGATATCTCGAGTCTTCATAGCTTTTCTGGAACTTCTCAAATCATAGTATGGTATAGGCTCTAAAAATCTACTAGGATGAAGCCTCGCCTTCCAATGCAATTTGTCGTTTCAAGTACCTAGAACAATTTGATATCAAAATTTAAATTTCGGTGTTAGATATAGCTCATTAGCAATACTAACAAAGATGTAGACCAAATTTCTCACCTCATGAAGACAACCAACAAAAAGTAAATGAACACTAATAATACACGATAACTTCATTATTAACTATAAAAGAATTGTAGCCATAAATAAGGTCACAATATGGGATCCCTGATCCATATTTTACAGATGAGCAAGTCCCCAAAAACAGAAACAAATATGAACCCTTCATAAGATAATCACTATCAGTGAAGTAAAGAACATCCAACTAACCGGATAAGATACGAGGAAACCTACCAAGCATCCTTGTCATAAAGTTGCACCTGTGCTCTTCTAGTTCGATAAACATAAAACAATAAACATCAGAATTTTCAGTCAAAAGGAATTTCTTGCCTCCATAATCATAGAATAAAACTGCAATTGTCTTATTGACCTGAACCGAGCAACTCATCCATTAAAGTCATTTATGTGTGTATTGGTATCTTATTTATTGACAATTTGATTGAAAATGTAGATTACTACAACCAGAAGCTATAGTAGTATCATGGAGATAAAATCCGCCTTTATGAGTAAATATAATAACGTAAAAAAAACCCCTCTCCCAACCCCCACACCTATGGAACCTTTCTCCTCTGGACAAGCTTGAATGTATGGAAAAATTTATTCGTGACCCCTGAAAGCTCTAACGAAGGTAATGATGGCTGGTTGAGGATATTATCTAAGCATATAGTTAAACCAATTTGCATTGCTCAACCTGGAAATCCTTTCTTTGTCCCCATTACTAGACCTAATTTTCAGAAAGTTTCGCAGGCAGAAAACTAGAGCTTCATAATTAATGTGTTTCGCTGTCTATTCCTATATTATGAAATGCAGATAGGTTGAATGTGGCTTTCGTAAGTACGTGCATATAAAGCATTCATCAGCATACAAAATGGAGGCAGGCTTGAAGCATATAATTTGTACCCAGAAATAGTGCTAGAAAGTCAAAAAATATGACAGATAACCTCGATATTGACCGTGCTAACAAGATTGAACAAGATATATACATGCAAATACATTTTGCGTGTGCATACGAAGCACTTGCATATCACTCCCTCTGTCCAAAAGTGCGTATCAGATGATTTATCAGGCTCGACATTCATGCATATAATTAAAATGTATGCACCTATAACATTGATTCCAGTAGCCCCAGTACCAAAGTGAGGCCAGGTAATGCTATATTTTTTAAATGGACAGCTAAGTGTAAAAGAATCATCTGTTTCGCCAAAGGCTGAAGAGACTTTTATTGGAACACATTTTACACAAGGAAATATCTTGAATAAGAGTTTCCTATCATCAGTTAACATCTAATGTGTTTTACTCGTAATTGCCATTTTATGTTTTTGAATGATTGGTGATGTCACATTTCAGTTCAAGGAATGCAATAACTGAAATCTATCAATAAAGAAATCTAATGCTTCACATTTCTGCTCACTAAAATTCAAGACTCTACAACTTTCGGGAGTGAGACGGGGTTGGGAGTGGGACTGTGGGAGCCTGCAAACTATGTTTCTTGGAGCCTCGAGCCCTTTTCTACCCCCAAATATTTAGAATCTACGTAATATTATTTTATTTGAAAAATGTGCGCATAAAAATAAAAAATAAAATTATATTTTAAAAATGATGAGATTAAACAAGGACCAAGATTTCTTCATTTTTTGTAGAATAATGTTATCTAGTACCAGTTGTGCTACAATGCTAACTTAGATGGCGTAATGCGATAAGCTCAATGTGAGGTACAATTAAGTTAAGTCATTTAATTATACATCTCTTTTAATGTTACATTAATGTCATTTAAATTGACTTTTTAACATTAGTAATACTAAAAAAAACATTATTCTTTTTTGTAGACATTGAAAAGTGAGGTGAGAATTGTTCCTTTTGGAGATAATTATATAAATGGCAAATTAATACTCCCTATGTCTCAATTATATAGGTTGAGTTTCTTTTTTCTTTTGTCCCAAGTATATAGGCATATTTTCTAATGTAAAATATTTTGTTATGTTCATTTACTAATATACCCTTATTAAAGTTTCCCCGTTTAATATGTCAACTTCTTAAAATCATCTAAATACACACATTTCTTACTTCTTGAAAACATGGAATCACTTTCGTTTCTTCTTCTCTTTCAAATTCTTTATTAGTTCCAATAATATTTTAGTTTTACATACTGAAAATTAAATAGGGGTAAACTATGAAAGATCTTAACAAAAATTAATTTTTCAATGATATTAAAGAAGTTTTCTTAATTTGTATGAAAAATGAAACAAGCTTATATAATTGGAACGGAGTGAGTAATACTCTTGTGACTTCCGTATCCTTTTTAAAAACTCTCTCATCTTATCATATACTTTACCGTTTTTCATTTGTGTATATTTCATGAATTTAAAATTTCACCCTTGCCCATAGGAGAGAGCAAAAATCTTCTACTTGTCCCCGAATAGCAAAAAGGATGAGATCGAAGGACATGGTTATCGACGAAAATACTGTAAAAAAAATTATATTTGTTGATTTAAATCGTAATAAAAAATAAAAATAACATTAAAAAATAATTAAACATTGTGATAAAGGTGGGTTTCTAATCTCAACCCGCCTCTCAAGAACTTCTGATGAGTGGGGGTAATAATAGTTGCTTTGCCTGATCCCCCTGCAATCCCTATCAGTTAGGAGTGACAATTGGGCGAGATGAGACTACCATCCCACTTCTTTGGGAATTTTGGGGGTCGAGACGATCCGATAGAGAGCGAGGCAAGACTTTGCTTGTTTAAATATTTATTTTTATAATATTATAGTCAGTTTTTTATAATACAATTTAAACGACAATCATAAAAATATAATAAAATAAAATAATCCAAGGTGAAAATTATGCTCTATATCCTCGTTCCATTTGCTATTCGAGTCAAGATCGGTAGGGAACAAAGAATTTTTTGCGTTCCTTCTATAACTGACATTAACATTGTTGTATGTACATGATATCATGTGGTATCTTATCATTGGGCATTGTCCAAAAAATATAGTGTTAGTAGTCAATGCAGTGATGTCAATACTGCATCTGGCGCTTGTCACTCTGTACAAATAGCAAAATTCTACTAACATTGTGAAACTAACACACACCTGTCAAAAAAGAAAAAAGAGAAAAAAATAAATTAATAATAGTAAGGCTATAGACTTAAATAGGATAAGTGGATAAAAAAATTATAGAATAAACATTTTGAGGTGAATCAACAAATTCGTGCATGAACTAATTAGTTCTTCACTAGCTGTAAGTTATCATTCGATAAAATAATTGATGATTTTGTATTGAAAGTTCATTTTGACAAAGAGTTCAATATACATTGTATTATATCATTAGAATATAATGGATTTTCAATAAGTAAAATCCGCCATAAAATTTTAAAAATAATGTGTTTAATTAGTATGAATCTAAGAAAACCAAGTTATATATGACTCTTCCGTCCAACTAAAACGACATGTTCGGTGCTGCAAATTATACAATATCCAACATTATAAAAATATTTATTCTTTATGTTATTCGATGCTGTTTGATAGGATTTAAAATTAGATTTTTAGTAAATTTGGATAAAAGTTGTTGAAATGAAAAGTTGTAAATCTTACGAAATATGTGACTGAAATGAATTCTGGACTTTAACTTAAATGAAAATAGAGATTTTAATCCTCCTACCAAACAAGAGCTAAATATACTAATGAATTCCAATTGCAACATATTCATTCAGTTGAAAAACTTTGTGCAAATTGTCTAACACCGTACTAACGGTCTTGAAGTTTTTTTTCTCTCATATTTTAACATTAATGACAAATTCCTACCAATAGGAGATTCAAATCAAATTTGAATTTAAAAACTCATTTCTAGAACAACCAGCGTCAATATGTCCGAGTGGTTAAGGAGACAGACTTGAAATCTGTTGGGCTTCGCCCGCGCAGGTTCGAACCCTGCTGTTGACGTTATTTCCTTCTTTTTAACTTGCTTTTACTTTTTCTGTTATTGGCGCTCATTTGGTACTCAAATTTTTCAAAATAAATTTCAAATTTCGGTAAGAGTAAACTTTTATAGCTGGTTTGCCACATTAGTTTGGGTAATGTATTTTATAAGTTGTCATAAGCTTTCTTCTTTAATCACATAGTCATATAAGATTTAAAAATATCATAACATTCGCTTATTTTAAAATCAAAAAATTCGAAGAATAGTTTATTATTATCATGACGTGTTTTGTATGTTGGTTTGGACAGATCAACAAACATGAGTATCCGATTGCATTCTTTATTAGAAAAACTTCATGCAACTTTAATTTGTAAAACGAATATATGATGAAAATTCAGACTTTTCCCCAAAGCAAAACTTCGAACTATTTACAGAGACAGAGCGGGCACAAAATTTTACCTTCCCTGTATATATGTAGATCTACAAAAGCAACAGTACACTTGATCGCCAGTCGGTTCGACCTGGGCTTTCAAGATTAAGAAATTTTACTTCTACAGAAAGTGAACTTGGCTATAGATTACTCAAAAATAATTAATTCCCCGCTCGCCTCAAGAATGCTAACACACCTAAACCGGCAACAAGTGCGGCCCCCGCTGCCACAGCACTATATGCAGAAGCCCATGCATCTGCTTGAGCATATTCGAGACTTCCAGAGTCTGAACCCCTCCGCCGAAGAGGGGCCCCTGAATAATCTAAATGCAATCTCAATCCCTGTTCAGGTAAATTACCAATGTCATTAGAAATTTATTTACAGAATGATACTTGTGCAGGGAAAATGCACATGGAGTTCTATAGGTGCTGAGATGGCGGCACCTAATTGGCTGCTTTAACTATGCTTTTTGCCAAAATCCAATAAAATGTTGCCATGTGGCATTCTGTAAAACTACCTGTATATTTTCCTTGTATATGTAGCATTGCTCATTTATTTATACGCGCACATACACAGGGAAGGACAATGGAAAGTAATAAGACATTCAACGATATATAAGTACTGAATTACTCAAAAACTGCTAATTTGTTCAAATTCTTTTCCAAAAGAAAAAAAAAATTAACGATGGGACAAAAGGCAACAAGTACCTTCCAACCAGCTTGCTTTGCATGGTCTACAGCTGCTTGAAGATCACTATCTGATGCAAGTACAACCTTGTCATGGTCTTCATCTTCGTACTGCAGGACAGTGGCCATCCATAAGCGTAAAAGTTGGCAAGGAGAAAAAGAATAAGAGAGTAAACAGCAGCACAATAGCATACCAGAATCTGCGGAAGGTTGTTACGGTCAATGTTGTCCCCTACTCTCTGAAGGATGGCGGTTATGAGGTCCGTCAAATGTCGTGTATCTGTTTTCAGAAACATCAGTAAATTTACAGGATCATGAAAAATTATTTCTTTAGGAAAGATGATAGAAGCCGAACAGTGTCAAAATACGCGAGAAGATTGCTTCAACTGTCCTGCTTCACCATGATGTATGGTAAAGATTCCTACTAGTTTCATTTCCTTTCCAGATAGTAATTACTTTGCCGTACTATGACGTGTAAATTATCCAGAAAAGGACGTCTATGCTAATTCACAACATGTCAATCAGGTGGGAAAATGACCTCATATTTTTGTAGTAAGTGTGACTCGCATACAATTTTTGTTAAAGATTCATTAGAGCAAGGTGGTCAGTTTGCCTAAGAACACAGACCACAATTAAAGCGATGCATTTGTCCCTTTTTGTCTTGAATCTTGAATGCAAAAGTATTGGGAGCACTAGACATAGGATATGGAAGAGATCGACCAGTCTCTGCTCCTTCATAAGTCATCTTCGAGGAATTCTCACTGAGAAATAACCGATATATATGTTAGAAGAGTACCAAGGAATTGAGAACTATATTAAACTTTCAGCCTATAACCTTCGTGTCTCTTCCTCATCATCAGGAGTTAATTCCATTGCAGAATCCCAGAACCTTTGCATCATAGTATTTGCAGCCTCACTATTGACACCAGCAGTATTTCCAACCTAGTGAAGTACAGCAGGCCAGGACATCAAACCACAAAATACTCATGATTCACTCAATGCACATATTTTGATTCATAATGCTTGTAAATGAATCAGATGTTAACCCTCAAAGAATTATTTTGGCTCCAAAGACTTAAATTAACTTACTGTAGCTATAGCAGCATGAGTTATATGAAGCACATCAACAACAGCAACGACCATTCCATCTGATAATAGGTGTTAATTAGAATATAGATAGCGTCAAAATAAATATAAAGAAGTAGAACATCTATCATGAGCTTTCAGTATAGTTATGGAGGTCTGTGTACCTCTGTCAACGACTGGAAGGTGTAAAAATTTCCCATCATGCATAGTATGAAGAGCATCAACAATAGGTGTATCGACTGTTGCACATTCTGGATTTGGGGTCATCACCTGCAGTAACACAATTAAGGCAAAAAGTATGCACATGTCAAACTACTCTTCCAGTCATATGGAGAAAAAAAAAACATATAAGGCATTTACAATTGTAGAAACTTCACTGAAATGCTTACATTTACAGCATGAAAAGATGCACAACTCTAAAAGAACATGGATGCAAATTCTATTACAAATAATTGCCCTGCTTAGAAGGGAGAGATGGTTACCTTCTCCACCAAAGTGGACTCGGGTGGAAGATCCTGAGCTATGACTCGCATCAACAAATCCTTTGAACTGAAATACATGTACAATGTGCAATCATTCTATTCTCAACATCACGAGTAAGAAAAAACCGCACAACTCAAATGATTTTTCCTTCTGATACAAATATACATTACAACATTAGAGGAAACTCACGTTAAAATTCCCCTTGGCTTGTTTTCTACAGTTACAATGGCTGAGCTTGTTCGAAATTCAAGCATCTTTTGTGCAGCGGCTAGAACAGTATCACTTGGAGGAACTGTAACAATCCTGACAAAATAATTATAAGAGTGATATGATTACACAAGTGATATCAATCATCATTGTAATTATTTTTTGATGCAAGAAAGATAAACTGCACAAATGTTAGAACTAAATAGGAAGATATTACCTACTTTGAACTGTCAGAAATTATTGTAGATAAGGAAGGCCTAAACATTCTCTCGCGTAGTGTTTCAATGAATGTATTAGGACCTGCATAGTAACCAATCATAACGTATCACATAAAATGACAGAGTAAACTAACATAAGAGGGATAAACAGTAACTAATAGGTAGCATATAAAGACACGAGGCAAATGTGGAAAGGAACATTGTGAGGAAACATTAGCCACCAACCAGACACGGATGTGCCCCAGTGTTTCTCAACACCTTCCACAGCAGCCGCAATGGCCTTTCCCTTCTCAGCTGCCCTCTCCATACGAGCAATAGCATCATACAAGCATTTTGCTATATCAAGTAAAGCAATAACCTCCCCATTTTCAACAACAGGTAAATGTCTAAATTTCCCTGCAGATGAGAATATCATTATAAAAAGGAAGATATAGAGTAAGACGCATAACAGAGTACTAAAAAATGTTATTTGAAAGGAAACTAACCTTGAACCATCTTTTGCAAGGCTTCCACAGCAAGAGTGTCTGAAAGAACAAAAACAGGGTTTCTGGTCATAACTTTGGAAGCTGGTGTTTCTTCAAGATTAAGCTCGCGAGCAACAACTCTTGTAGCAATATCCTTCAATCAAAAGAAAATAGACAAAACAAACAATTAAAGAAGAGTAAGAGAGAGACTACATAGAAAGATCTAGACTTCTAATTGCTTCATTTTTATCAAGTGCAATTGGAGCAATACTTTATCTGTCAGGATTCCACACAATAATGCATTTGAATCTGTCAGCAATAAGGCATCAACTCTGCGAGCAGCCATCCGACGACAAGCTTCATTAATACTTGTCGTTTCAGGAACCGTCAAGGCTTTTGACAGCCGCAATCGCTTCACTGTCCGCTCGCCTGTCCGTCCCCTGTTCCAAGTGTGAAATAATCTAATTAACGCCACCAAACATGGGGATAGTCAGTGTCCGGATGCTTCTTCTACATTCAAGCACCCTCAATGAAACATGCAACTTTATGATGTAGTCATCTGACAGTGTTGACTCAACAATTATTTAAAAAGATGTGTATATTGTGCTAAGGAAGAACTTTGAGACGTTTCTTGCGTCTTTATGGATTAGTAAAAGTTAAGATTCCAGTCAACGATTATACTTCCGTTTGGCAAATTTATAAATCAATTTTATAGAGAGGAATATTAGTGGTAACCCACAAAATATGCGGATAACAATGAATAGTAGTCATGAATGTACGGTGGAAATTAATGTTTGATTTTGACTAAATTTCTAAACCAAATTATAAAATGTATCCAAACAGAGGCTATATATTTTGTCACAAGCTTATGATCTATGGAATAAGGTAAAATACGATATTTCAAGTCTGTCTATGAAACTATGACACCTCAAAACAGTTTTAACTTGTTTCGTTATTATGACTTGGCATACCACACGTTATGCATCAACCATATTTCATATATATAATCAACTTCATAAGCATGTGCTTGTTACAAGTTTCTTTTCACGAGGAAATGTTTTGAATAGAATTCCTATCCATTTTTTTCTAAAATCCCTCAAGGAACATCAGATAGCTATAAAAATTTTCACTGCTTGATTTTTTTGGCGCGTTTAGATAGCATGGTTGGAGCAGAAGGCAACTCTATTAGAAAAAGAAAGAAGATGAAACAAAATTTAAATATTTGTCCCCTATTTTTCTTGTAATTATTCGCCCACATTATAATCAAATTCTCGAATTATAGTGTTTCCCTCACTCCTTACAAATCCCTAATATATCAAAACTGAAATGTAGCCAAGGTAGTAAAGGCAACCAACTGAAATATAAATAAACAACGTGGAAAACACAAGATTACGCTGCACAATAAAGTTATTGTGTTACGCTGTATTGTGGCACAAATTTTTAAAAAAAACCAAAAAAGTATAAAAATATATAAAAGTGTTCTCCTTGAATACTGATATAGAATAACCTTCTACAGCCAAAACCTTCAACCACTTAATGCAAAATCAAAATGTAGTTTACAGAAATATCTTACGTATTCATAAAATATATACATATAGCTTCACTTCTATCTACATAACTTACATAGAACGAGAAGTAGAAATAGACTTGCGGTGAGATGAGGAGGAGTCGCCAGCTCCTCCGCCGCCTCCATTCTCAGCGGCTGATTTCCTCACCCGCGACGATGAGCTGGTCAACGATATGCTTTTCCTTGATGATCCTCCTTGACTTGTCATCCAATCGATCGATAATCCACCACCTAAAACACATTCATCCATTAACAATCAATATTAATCAACCACAAAAATAAAATTAAAAACATAACAATTTCAACAGGAACAAAAATCTAACCCGATGTGATACACAAAATCGAATGGGGAAAACAAAATTAACGAGTCAAAGAGGATTTTTTTTTTCCTTTCCAGAAAAATTGATTGATTAATTTTGCGTTAATTTTCTGATAAGAGAATCCGAAAAGGCAAAGGGAAAAGGGAAAATGCGGATTAGAAATGGGAGGGTGGAGAATTTTTGGGAATCGAATATTTTTGGTGAGGACGTTTTGTTAAAAGATTCGGGGTCCAAAATCCTTAATGGAAAGGTAGGATTCAATTCTTTGCGTCTTTTTGGCCAGCGTTCTATCATATTAATTTGGGAAATTTGTGGTGCTGATCCTCAATCTATTGCCTAATAACAAGTAGTTAAAAGCGTTATGAATGTCATGTGACAGCTCGATTTTTGTCAACATTAATTATTGATTTTGACTTAAAATTTTAATTAGATTTGAATCTTGCCAAGTATAGACTTAATAATAATTATTATACATTCAATATCTTAGACAAAAAAAACTTTGTGATTCATATTGACAGTTCATTGAGAGACAAAATCTAGCGTTCTGTAAGTACACGGATGTCATGTGATATTTTAACTCTTGTTTGATTTTTATTTTTTTATAATCACTTCTCTTAATACTTATTTTCAATTACACTCTCAAAAATATCATTTCTCACATTTTTACATAATTTTTTCTAACTTTAAGACCACACATTCACTAAAAAAAAAATACTTTAACACACTCACTTCTCTATAGAACTTTATCGAACAAGCTCTTAGACGATTTCCAATTATAACAAAAAGTTGAAAATTAACTTCAGAACCAATTTATCGTTAGAGAATAGGTTGACAACTAATCTTGCAACTTATTCCTTTCAATTTCAAATAAGAAATGGTAAAGCCTAGCATTCAGTATGTTAAGGGATGGCAATAGGTCCAGTATGGGGTGGGTCACTCATTCCCATTCCCCTCCCGTCAATATTTTTGTTACTTTGCTCCGCTTCCATGCCTGGTTAAAGTGGGATGGGGCGGAATTGAGGACCTGCCCTATTTTATTATTTTAATTTTTTGTGTTTAATTTTTTATATTTTTTGTTAGTGAATATTGTTACTTTGTCTTCTAATTTGTTAAGAACAACTCATATTCTTACTTTCAAAATTTCAAATCTACTATTGCTAGGTTTTTATTCAATGGATACTACTTTTTTTATTTTATAAAAATGCACAATCATTAGCCACACACACAAACTAAACTATCTCAAGCCATTGACAACCACCACCACCATCAACTTCAACATTACCAAGCACCACTATCCAGAAACTTTCATATGCATATTAATGAGGTAGGGCGATTGATCATTCCCACTACATCGAGGTTTTTTTGAAGGCTCGGCGAGGATATCGCAAAAGTGGGACTAGGCAAGGGATCAAAAAATCCCAATTTGCCGACCGTCTAACTATTTATTTGTTATTGTTATTACTTTATATGTAATTGAAATGTATTAAATAAAAAGTGAAAGAAAAAATAAATGGGGGAGGTCTAAGCGAAGTAGGTTGAAGATACGCAATTTTGACATCTTTAAACCACCACCATGGCCATCATCTATAAACCACCATATGTACCTCTTATTTTTCCTCTGGCAAAGCAAAGTAGGATGAATAATATGCCTTGCTCTGGTTGAACTGAAGTGCCGACTAATTTTTTTAGAATTATTAAAAATCTCTCATCAAAATAAAACTTTTTTTAGAATTTGAAACCCCAATCAAAGTTGAAAGTTGAAATGCAAAACCTATCTTTATAAATAAACCTACACACATGTAGCGATGTAATAAAGATTGAACGCTTCTTGAAAACTGATTTTATAACTATAGTGAAATTTTTAGAATCAACTCATACTTTTTATAAGGTTTTAGACTAACTTGCTACTGAGACAATACGTTGGGGACAAGTTCTGCAATTGTTCCCAAAATGAAAGAAATAGAGGATGTCATCTGATGCGACTTTACCTTATTCTCGTGGGGAATCCAAACACGACTTTACGTAAAAATATAAAATCGCTCATCCGTCATTACCGCGCTCCGAGCTTCGTTTCCGTTTGGACCCCTTTTATTTTTGACTTAGGTTTTCTCTGCACTATCTCGATCTAAGAGGAGCGTCGGTTGACGTCGGAAGCTAGGAATGGACGGAGAAGAATTGACGGAGCAAGAAACCGCCCTTTATGATCGCCAAATTCGTGTATGGGGTGCCGATGCTCAAAGAAGGTACTAATTTATAATTCTGCCTGTGTGTGGAAATTGATTGTGGATAAGCTTTAGAGTTTAATAGGAATGAATCAGTATTATATTTGATTATTTGGTTATTTTTTCAGGCTGAGCAAGTCCCATATACTCGTCAGTGGACTCAAAGGCACTGTTATTGAGGTTTTTTTTTTTTGTATATATTATTATTTTATTCCGCGTGATTGTGCATTTACTTTTGGTTCTGGCTCGGGGTATGAGATGATCGAGTCGATTCCATGATTAAAAGTTCATTCTACACTGGACCATACCGGAATAGGGTTATATACAGAACTCATTGTCAAGGACCAGGTAGGCTCAGTCAGGGTGAAGGCACAGGGGGGTGTGTCTGCTTAGGGCTCATGGGAGGTAAGACACAAAATTGAATTTTACCAGCGAGTTGAGTATGGGAAAAGGATTCACGGTTAGAGGGTGGGCTTTAGCATGGTCATTCGAGCCTTATCACCTATGGCTTCTACTTTGTCTGTGATGTTCGATGAATAGTATGCCAAGGGGTCTGCTTGCCTTTTCAATTTTACCCTGATAATGGTTCCTTGATAATAGTTTGTACGTCTTCATGAACGTTGCTAAAAGTATACGTATGGTTATTTGTTAAGGTTGGGAAATTATTATTTATAGCGATTGGATGTATAAAATTATCGTTTTTATGTTGTTACAGTTTTGCAAGAATATTGTGCTAGCAGGAGTAGGTAGTGTGACGTTGATCGATGATCGTGTAGTGACCGAGGAATTGTTGGCTGCCAATTTTTTGATTCCTCATGATGAGAATATGTATGCTGGGAAATCTCTTGCCGTGCTTTGTTGTGATTCCTTGAAAGATTTCAATCCTATGGTTCGTGTTTCTGTTCAGAAAGGTTGGCCGCTGATCTAAGTTATCTGCTATCTTGTGTTTGAATTTAGCTATTAACTGACTTATGAGTGAAAAGAAATTGAAATATAGGCCAGAAAATTTTGTGCATGCCTTTTCAGAATGGTTGGCTTATCTTACTACTAAATCACAGCTCTCTGTCCAAGTTTCAATTTTATTATTATTATTATTTATTTATTTTATTTTATTCCTGAGAAAGTGTGGTTAAAAAGTGGGGAAAAGTTTTGGGGTTTATGGCAAAATTATTTTATTTGGAGAATTTGTAGTTGAAAATGAGTTCAGAATTTTTCAAAGTGGGGCTCAAGCAGGGGCTAATTGGTTACTTGAGTGAGAGTTTAGCTATCAGTTACATCCGATCACCGCACCAGCCTGTATAATTCATGCCAGCGGACATGCAGGAGCATGCATATATTTCATTCTTGTGCGTTTTTTCTCGCAGTTTTGATTTATTATTGTTAATCTTGGTTTTGTTTTTTAAAAGGTGAAGGATATGAATTTTCTGGTAAGTAGAGACTAGAGAGCAGATGAGTGGATCTTCCTTGGTTTCACTAGTTCTTGATGTCCAGTAAGAGAATCATGCTGCTTGATGTTTGTGCATGATTTTGTTTAAATTTTATTTAATAGATGTACTTCCTAGTTTTTGTTCTGATTAGATGCGCCCCCTAGTTACATTCGATGATCCATCTTGGGTGTTTAGTCCACAACGTGATTACTTAAATGGATATTGGAGTGAGTCGTGCTATATGTTTATCTTGTATAACCGTTGTCATCCATTCAAATAGTGCTTTATGTTGATTCTAGATACAAACTATTGTTGAAATGCTGAGAAGAGTAAATTATTGTTGCAGGTGATTTGTCAAGCTTCGGTGTTGATTTCTTTGAGAAGTTTAACGTTGTAGTTGTCAGTTCTTGCTCACTTTCAACAAAAGTACTACCACTCCTTCTTACATGCATAACTTTAGAATTTTATGTAATTAATTTGCAAATGAATCTACATTGCACATATCTCATGCACGTTGTCACTTGTGTATATCTTTAGACGGTTATCTTTTAAGGCTTCCTTTCAGTTTCCCTTTTAAATGTTTCTGCTGCAGAAATTGGTCAATGAGAAGTGTCGCAAAGCATCGAAACGTATTGCATTTTATACAGTGGATTGCAGAGACTCCTGTGGTGAAATATTTGTTGACTTGCAGAAATACCTTTACTCCAAGGTTTTATTTGTTGTCTGAAGTTTTAATAATATATGTATCCACTAAATCTTTTGTTTTATTTACCAGATTTTGTTCTGTTAACGAACTGCTTATATACGATATTGGGATGGTTTTTGTAGAATTCTACTTCCGTCGTTTCAGTTAATTGCTGCTTGTACTTTTAAAATTGATCTTGTAGAATTTGAACAGCTTTTTAACATTTCTCTCCCCACTCCCGTGCAGAAAGAAGTAGATGAAATGGTGGAGTGCCTTTTAGAATACTCAAGTTTTGAGGTATGAAATGACAGTACTTCCGTCGTTTCAGTTAATCTGAATTGTTGTAATGCGAACTTGATCGCAACAAATTCTGTACTTGCTCTCAGGCGTGCTCAACACCTACATACACACTTATTAATTATGTTTGCTATTTGTGGTTAAAGTTACATTCATTTTTGCTTCCTGCAACCTTTCAGGAAGCTATAGCTATCCCATGGAGATCTCTTCCCAGGAGGGTATCTAAGTTGTACTTAGCTATGAGAGGTATTTTTGGCTATTCATTTGTTGAGATGTAGACTATAGGATTATTAGTTAGTGATAATTTTTTATTTTCCCCCTTAAATGTATTTTAAGGTTGGAAAGCCAGATTGCCTGAAGTCCCTAAATAGTGTAATGGAACTTCAAAGAAGTTGTAACAGTTCTTTGTACGAGTGTCAGTGTCCTTCATGCTAGCCAAATATCTCTGATCAGCAAGATTACAAGTACTGTCCAAATTTTCTCATAAGATCAATCAGAAAATGCAATTTCAGTGGTCAGCCAGTCAAAAGAACATCTAGTAGGATTAGCTATTCTTTATCTTCCTGCTTCCTTGCAAATTACTTTTCACTGCATGGAGTTGCTTGCAAGTTTATCTAAGGTGGATAATATACAATTTTGTTACAGGTGTCGAAATATTTATTTTTGTTAACGTGCTTACACTTGTACCTTGAGCTCTGTGCTTGTGCTAAATGTGGATTTATTTAACAAAATTGTTCTGGAGATTGTGTTATTTACTGTTGGAGTACATCTTCTAGTGATAGAAAGGTTTGAAGAGCTTGAATCTCGTAATCCTGGAGATACTTCAATTGCTGACCTTCCAGATGTTCAAAAGTTGAGGAAGGAACTTTGCGAGGCACATGTATGACTCCTGGAAGTTATGTGACCTGTTATGCACCCTTTTCGTGCTTTTTCCTTGTCTTATAATTTCACCTCTACCTGTGCAGTCACTGAGTGAATCTATGATTCCGGATGCCCTCCTAGAGAGATTATTAGCAAGTACTACAGAATTTCCTCCTGTTTGTGCCATCATTGGAGGAATTCTTGGACAGGTGGTGATGTGCTTCAAAACTATTTTGAATCTTAAAAGTACTTGTAGAGCTTAATTACTGAATTTTTGGATTTTTCGTGGCTGTAGGAAGTTATTAAGGCAATATCGGGCAAAGGAGATCCTCTGAAAAATTTCTTTTTCTTTGATTCAATGGATGGGAAAGGCATAATAGAGGATATATCTATAGTGAAAGCAGAAGGCTAGGCTCAAGATTCCTTTTCTACCCTAGTGAAACCCAGAAATAGTGGTAGATTTTCTTGGAAAAGCTAATTGTTGAATTTATAACTGATCCTTAGGATGATTGTACTTTTAACTCCTGCTTCCCCATGGAATTACTGATTTGTTGTGGCATGACTGTAGTTCCGGTAACGGAGACTGTTCAGTATCTTTTGACAATATGCCGTAATTTGAAAATTTGTATGAATGGAACTACCATATCACAGTTTCAAGAACATAGTGATGGGTGCAGTAGGTCTTCCATTGCTGAAGAGTACTGTTATTTGAAGGCCCAATATTTCTTAGTATATCTCTGTGATATATATAATCTTTGTGTGATTTATTTGCCAAAGACACTCATGTATGTATTTAATTTGTTTATGTTCTTGCATGCGAATATGTATAATGTGTGTTCATAAATAAATTGTTATTACAGTAGACGAATATTTGGATTAACTTTTTATATTGTCTATAAACAGAAGCACAATCTTGTTTAAATATTTTGAAATAGTAGCTTAACTCCTATAAGAGCTTCAAGTGGTACCTAGCTGAGTTCTGCGGTGTTGCTGGAATGATGCTTGGGAGACGGAGTGTATGGTGCAGGGCAGTGAGAGGTTCCTGTCGTGGGGATGCACTTGTGCCAGTTAAATGGAGTCCACCAGAGGGGAGGGGTATTTCAAGTTAAAAGCAGATGCAGCATTCCAATCTGCGGAGGGTGTTGTAGGGATTTGGGCAACATTATTCAGGACCATGCTGGAATNGGGGGGGGGGGGGGGGGGGGGGGGGGGGGGGGGGGGGGGGGGGGGGGGGGGGGGGGGGGGGGGGGGGGGGGGGGGGGGGGGGGGGGGGGGGGGGGGGTGTTGACAGTGTAGGAAGGGGGAGGCAGTGGCTATGCACAAGGTCTCCTGTTTGCGCATCGGAGTGACTTTCAGCTTGTTTGTTCATAGGGTCATTCGTTGAGCCTAGCTCAAAGTTTGTAGTCTAGTTTTTCTTTTGCGCTGAATGAGGCGGTTTTGTCTGACTTCCTTGAGTTATTAGACGCTATGAGTAGTGTCTCTTGTTGATTTATTTTCAGAAATGGAACTAGAGTGGCCCATGAGTACGAGCTTATGCATGTTTGTTAGATGTGAATTTCCTATTGGCTCAAAGGGAAAAAAATGTCAGTATGTTAGCTTGCATTCTGTCTGCGCTGCTCGGTGATTTACTTCAACGAGAATTTCCTTTTGGCTCAAAGGGATCAATGATCCGATATTGAGATTTAATAATATCAAAGATATGACTTTGCGTCAAGGTTGAATTGTTCCCTTTTAAGCTGAGGAACTTGGTAAAGATGTCATCAGTTCATTCAGGAATTAGTTGAATACTGGTTTTTGAGTGCCCGATACAAACTATTAGGAAAACATTTGGTTGATAATTCGGAAGTAGAAATAGAATCCATTGCAGCATTGGGATGTGCACCATCTTCTACAATTTCTCGAACCCCACATGCACAACACTAATGATTAACCAACAAAAAGAAAAAGAAACACAAACCCCACCATGGAAAAATCATTAAAAGCTGGAGCCAGAAGAAATTGAAAAATAACCTGGCACCAATAGACCAGTTCAAGAAACCCTGAAGAGTCCCACCATGGAAAAATCATTAAAAGCTGGAGCCAGAAGAAATTGAAAAGTAACCTAGCACCAATAGACCAGTTCAAGAAACCCTGAAGAGTCCAAACCAGATCTTTTTGTAGTGTTGAACAGGCTCAGGTTATATCTTTCCTCTGTTGGAAAAATCTTGCACGTGGCTTAATTATGTCTTCTGTTCAACACAGAAGGTCTTTTGATGGATTTTGGAAGTTGAAGAACAGAGATATGGCTGTTGAGGAAATAATCAGAGAGCGTAGGGCAACGATAATGAGTGGTAAACTTAAAGGAAGGAGGCTTTTTGAGGCGGCGGAAAGGGCAGCTGAAGTGGAATTGGATTGGAATGATGATGAAATGTATAGTGATTGTTTCAACTTGCTTGGCGAAAAAGAAGTGAATAATGAAAACTTGAAGAGAAACCAAGAAGACTTGGGTACTTGCTTTCGTCCATCTTGTCCTTTTTTGGGTTCTTCTTTGCCAGACGAGAAGGTGGAGATTAGTGAATCGGTGGTGGTGGAAGGGGAGGCGGGTGGTGCAAGTAGAAATTTGAGGGGTGGTGACAGTGGCGGTGAAAGGTGCATGCTTGCATTAATTTGGTTTGCTTTTGTGTCAATGCTATTTACTCTTGGCCTAATTATCTCAATGCGTCGCAGTGATAAATATGAGCTTGAAAAAGAGGCAATTATTGTTCCAACATAAAAACACTCTCTCTGTCACACACAGTTCACGGTTTAAATTTTTTTTAAGACATGGTATTAAGATTGAGTGTACTTTTGTGGATTTTCATTTTGTATCAGTAATAATTTCAATTTTTGTGAGGTGCAAGACCTTTGTTCACTTGTAAATTCTGCCTAAATTACTTATTAACCGACAACCGACAATAATTCATAAACCATTGGGTGAATGAAAATATGGGTTCGAGATGAAAGATTATGATCTTATATAAACTCGAATTTACTTATGTTTGACACTACACATGATCAAAGACCGGAGATATGTGACAAGAATCGTCAATTGGCATGTCTAATATACTATTCAGTACGCCGTGTCAATGTCTTGGAATGATCGAAAATTTCAGTTATGCTGCTACTTGATGATCAGGAGATCATGAATTCAAGTACAGAGGTTTAAAACCTCAGTGAAGGTTCTAATGTGCAGTTTGGAGATCATTATTGCAAAATATAGGAACAAATTTATTGAAAATATAGCTTATCATAAGAAGGTTCCAGCCAACAAATATGTTATCAAATAACTTAAGATCCAAGCCGTAGAAAATGACGAGCCATTTTCTCTAATAAGATTGCGAAAACATGATGTAGAATCAAAGGAGAATAGAAGTTTTTAAAACTGAATGGAAGATAATAAAAAGCGGTCTACTTCTTCTTGGGATCAGCATTGGCTACAGGAGCAGACTTTGCCGGTGAATTGAGCTCTTCCCAAGCTTCGATCCAAGTGACCATGGCATCCGCAAGCTTTTGGAAGTAGGGGTCGACTGGGCTGAGCTTCTCCTTCACCATCTTGGAAAGCTCAATGTAGCATTTTTGAACAGTTGTGGATTCTTTTGAGAAGGCTACCTTCTGGAAGAATGGAATAATTTCCTCTTGCCAGTATATGCCCTTGTATTCCTTCTTTAGATTGACAAATGGGTTACTAGCCTTGCTGTGCCAGATATACGGCAGCCCCGTCTTCACTCCAAGACTTAGATGATCACAGATTACCTATGAGCAAAATCAAGGTTTTCAAAACTCACAGGTAAGGTGGATTGAACAGTTGTGGACACTATTTAAGAAAATGATAAACCCGTCACTCATGTCGGCAGAGAGTTCAGAAAATGTGTGGCTGATATGAAAACAAGTACATATACGAGGGGTCAGCGGAATTACCTTAGCACACCAGCCGGCCCACATGTCATCATATCTACCGATAGGCTGGCCATCGCCCATGAGTCCAAAATACATAGCAGGGCCAATAAGTTCTCTGTCGAATCCAAGATTCATACCACACATAGGAAAGATAGTGCCTTTGGGAATTGTCATAACAGCATCTACATACCTGTGTTTAGTATTTAGTACAAATCAAGCAACAAGCATTGAGGCGAAAGATAAAAATAAACTCGGGTTTTTTCAAGGTTGAAGCATATCTAACTCGTGGCATTTTTACGTTCACATAATTTTGAAGCGATATCAATACAAGAAATACTGTCTATTGTCGGTTTTGAGGAACTAACCTGGTGTTGCGCTCACGAGGTTTGACAAGCTGAGTTGGGGCATCATAGTCAGGGATGTTAAGCCAGAGCCCGTGAGAGATGGCAGTTGGCACTCCTTCCCTCATGCTAAATGGATAGCCACGGACAAAATCAGCCCCTTCTCTATACGGATCATACAGTGTGTTGAAGAAGAAGGGCGTCGATGGTGAAAGCAGATTATGTATGTGCTGTTGCAATGCATTGATATCTTTCCCAGTTGGATCCTTGGCCACCTATTTCCATTTCAATTTTGCCAATGCAACGAGTCAGAAAATTTCTAATGAAGACACAAAAGAATGATCATTGGAGGAAAAAGAAACCTATGAGATGTTTGATTCACTAAACTCGAAACAACTAATAAAATGAGGTAATCAAATATAGGAGATGTTTGTCCATTGTCCTATTCGGGTATCTTGACATTTTCTTCAAAAGTCGAACTTTTTATTACCCAGGTGTCCTTTTTTCTATGTAGAACAATATGGGATAAATGAAAGTGAAGAGTAACTGTTTGGCAAGTCTTTATTTGACATGAAATTTTCTTTAATGGCTTTAAATTATGCTTATTAATAGGATGAATTATCTTATGACTATTATTTTATGGTAGGTGAACTGCCACTATCAAGTGAAAGCGATTTGCACCAATTGGAAAAGGCAAGGCAAGGCAAGACAAGAAAAATCAAATAGTACACTCATTTGGATTTTTCCGATTTTAAATTACAAATGATCAAAAAATAATACTTTCTAGCACCACTGGTATTAGAGCATCAGTCTATGTGACAACACTTTATGGGTTGAATTAAATGAGTTATTTGACTTTGCATTTAAATGAATCAACACCACTGGTGGTGAATACCATTTCTAAAGATAATGTCAGTCTAATCGCGTAGTAGTTTTGCCCAATCCCCCAAAAATATCGTGGATCATATCTGGTCGAGGGTGACTTGACCATAAACTTCCTATCCCTGCTCCCACTGTTAATTGTTCAACAGAAAGCTAGGGTGGAAATGGACAGAGCCAGCTCGGCATTTGAAACCGAAGCTCTGCTAAAGTGGACACGAGTCAGATCTTAATATCGTCTCGGCCCTTTTCCTCATGGGACTTACGGGTTGAGTCGAAATATCCACAAGCCAACTTATTTCTTTAAAAGTAAATTAACAAAACGAGTGCAAAAACAAACAATTTTTTAAGAGATCAATAAAATAAGTCGAAAAATGAGGGGAAAGACAAGCCGCCACATGGAAAAAAAATGTAAGCTCGGCTTGTACCATGACTTGTCACAAAGTTGAGGCCTAATTTTCCATGAGTCGAGCTGGAATGAGCCGAGCCTGCGAGCAGCTCGGCCCATTTGCCAAGCTTTCAAAAATCCAACCTTGTTTAATAGTCAAGTGAACCGAAACGTTTTACTAGGACTAAATTGCTACAAAAAGATAAAAGATTGGAACCAGAATATCAAGAAAAATAGGTTAAACATGCAATTTCAATAACAGACAAAAATTGGAAAACTCTGCTCCAAATTTTCCCAATTATAATCAATATCTAATTGAACCCATTTGACAGAAAATTCAACGGATCTGTATTTCTTTTGAATAGATTTTTCTGTCTAGTGGGCCAGAAGTTATAAAGATCCAATAAGGCAATTGTTCGTGGGTCCCATTTCAATCATACACGGTTTGAAATCCACGTGTCAAGATCGTGAAATCATGATACACGGTAATCTTTCAGTACACCGACATGTACTGAATCTTAATCTCTTCTATAACAAAGATTTCTTCTATGCATATTCTAATGGCAGATTGACTTTCCAAACCTAGCATCCAGATCCACACAAACTCGACTCTCCAACTCACCGAGTCAACTCTCTCTCACACACACACACAATTATACAAAACATACAGAGAGAGAGAGATTTAGAAAGAGAGGCTAGGGAACTTACAAAACAGTCATCATCAATGGTGTAGATGTACTTCTTCTTCGAAACCATGAATCCGAAGCATCGGCAAGCAGAATCCTTGAAGGAGATGCAGGAGGCTTTGGGGCCGAGAATCCGGTTGATATCATTCCGATTGTAGAGTTCATAATCGAATCCTTCGGGGAC